TAGCAAATGCAAGTGATTGTAACGATGATTTTTTTTCTCTTTTCAAAAAAAATAAAAATCGACTTTTTAAAAATGTCCATAAATAAAATGTTGATACCTTTAGATGATATTAGTTCTGACGATGAATCCATATTGTCGGGTGATAGTTTTTTTGACGATGAAAATTTTTTCAGTTGTTGATTAGTAGAAAGATCTGAATGAAAAAGGAATATGTAATATTACTTTTGTGAAAAGATAATCTTTTCAATTATATTCAATTATATTCTAATAAATGTGAATGTCTTGCTAAAAGTGAAGTTTTTTTTTTTTTTATAATACTGAATCTAAACTTTTTTATGAAGCAAAAGAGTTTCTCCTTGCCTAGTCAATCGAGCTAGAACATTTTCAAACCCTTGCTTTCCCATAGCCGCATTATCTCTAAATCTTTGAATAAAGAAATCCTCAATATAGTTCGCAAATCGTGAAATGGACTCGCCGCATTTAATACGAGCCTCTTGTTTAAATAAGGTTCTACATTTTAAATTGTCAGTAAATACAAGAAATGGAAGTAAAGATATTAAAACAATTATTTTAATTTCATTTCTTACTTTGACGAATCTGAGGGATCTTCTGTGTATGTGACGGTTTCTGACACGTTAATCAAGTTATTCATAGACAAATTACAACTGGTCATCCTTAGCACCTTGTTTTTTGGGTCAATCTCGCTGACCTCCCTTGCGTAGATCACTGAGTTACCTCCACACAACCTGCTTAATAGCCCTGGTATATTTTGTCGACATGTTATCAATCTTTCCGTTCGAAGTATACCAGTTTCTGGGTCCACATGTCTATCTAATACATCAATAGCGATAACGTGCGGACATTTTTCATTTGGATATTTACACCAATTTGCAGCTGAAACATGAGACCAATTGTAAAAAAAGGTGTGTGTGGTTTCAAAGAGCTTCATATTGTAGCTTTAACAATTTAAAGATCGTAAGGTGCTGCTGTTTGAAAGAAACATATAAATTCAATTTAAGGCTTGTAAGCGTTTTTCCCTTTTTGTTTTGAGGTAAAATAAAAGTATATAAAGCTTACATTTTAAAAGGTTAAATGCTCTGATGACCAATCCCTCGTATCTTAACGATCAAAGGAAAAGAAGTAGAGGATCAAAAATCACTAATATTCGATAGTCGAATCAGATAACAAAAAAAAAAAAAAAAAAAAACACATGTAAACTTTTTTTATTAAGTTTGTGACCATCGAGGCTTAAAAGAATTGGTAATGATCATCTTGGTAAATCATCATAATTTAAGATACTGTTGCTCTAATTTACGTTAACCGTTTTTTTTTACATTCCCGGTACACGAAAAATGGATACACAAGATGCGCTCAAAATGGAAAACCATTTGATTTTTAATATTTTTAGTGGTTCACAAAAGTTTGTGGCAGAATGAATTTCTATTTCTCACTTGTCGAATGATCATCCATGCTATAAAACACGTGGCGGAGGCTTGGTTTTCTTTCCACTCTTATTGGAACTCTTATTGGAACATATTTATATATTTCTTGTTTAGCAACGCGTCTTTATAATTCGCTTTTCAATTTCTTTCTTTAAATTTTCTTACATTCTTTCAGATACCTGTAAATTTAAATTTTAATTAAGTTCTATTTATTTACTTGGTTAGAGAAATATGAACTCTATTTCACTTTATGTTCTTCCCTCCCGGAGAAAGCGTGAGCACTCTGTTGAAGTGGAAATAGATCAGTTGGAAACTGAACGAGCTAAACGCCGTTACGTTTCCGAGTTCTTATCTTCTGAACTAACAGCCTTAAGTCTTCATAACAACGAAGAAGGTCTGTTCTGAGATTTAAGAATCTATTGCTATAGACTTAGTCTCATTTTTTGATGTCTTTCTTTCAATTAGACTCTTCTGTCACTAATACTAAGCAAATGGATATAACCGATTTAGATGCTAATCTACTAAAAAATAAGTCTCGAAAACATGTTGTTATGGTTACTGATCTCGATGCTTATGACTCCGAAGATTCCGAAGAAAAAAGTGATGTGAAGGATGAGTGTTCCTCTTCCACTACTAATTCTATCACAATGCCTCATGAAATTCGAAGATCATTAAAGAAGTTATCGCATGAATTGTTACTCCCGAGGACGTGCGCATTTTTAACGGATAATCTCGTAAATCAATGTGTTGAATTATTAAATTCAACCTATAAAAATTGAATTTGGCATCCTTTCTAAACGATCAAAAAACATACCATTTATGCAGGGACAATCCAGTTCGGGCATTAGTCTTATATCAACGTCCTCCATGGTTACCAACTGAACCTTCTAATTCGGTAAAATTATCTTTTTATTTATTACTACATTACTTTGATTTAGAATTATTGTCAATTTTATATTTTTCCATAAGGAGCCAAAAGGAATAAACCCTCGAAAAAACAAGGAAGTCGTACATGAACGTCGTATTTCTGAAATTATGGATAATGGTAAACTATCTCCCATTCCTGAGGATCCTGTGATCGACTCAGAAGAAATGGATTTAGACCTTGATGTTGAAAATAACAGAATTTCTTATGATGGGTATTTGGGTGACGATGATGAAGATGGTGTTGAAGAAATGGAATTGTAATTATTATTTCTCATAAAAGCAATTTCTTTTTCAGGTAATATATTTTTTTTTCAATTTACATTCTTTTCACCTATGAATTACTATCTGGCTTTTTTGTTTTTATGATTATATCTTGCTGACACTTACAAATTGTGAGATAAAGCAGATATCAGTTAAAATTTTTTTCTCCGTTATTATTAATGAACCTCTCAAGATGGTGTATTTTAAATCTAACCAACTTATTCGGATATTATTCTTTTTATTTTGTATTTTTTTTTTTTATTTTCATGTTTAACAAATAATTTCAATAGTAGGATTAATTAATAAGAAATAAAAATTGTACTAATATGCATAAGGCTCGATTATTCAAAATTTAAGCATTGTGTACTCATTTAA